TTACATGTCCTACCTGTACCTGAGGGATACCCTTATACGAATGTATCTACATCCCTCTCAGGGCTGAAAGAGGGGGAATAGCTTGAAAATCAAGTAGGTAACGATGCTTAATTCTGTACCCTGAATGTTATATTGTAGAATTGCCATCTGCATCACTCATGGACAGCCAGAGCTCTCTACTTGTCCCCCAAGAGGCAGGATATGCACAAAAGATTGCAAGTCCTGGAAGAAAAGCCAAATCAAACCAACTCCCAAAAGAACAAAACACTTCACTTCCATCATTTGAGTCCTTTGAGATGAGGACTCAAAATTAATTTCTGCTTTATATGCTTTCAACCTTTGGAACAGAGAGCCAAATCAGGAAGCTCTCGTTAAGTTTGTAAGCCGCAGGCAGAAAAAATGCTGGACACAGAGGTTGTTGACTAATGACACTAGAAAAAAAGAGTAGAGCAAGCAGAGTCCAGCCCCCAAGGCTGCCCGTTTCCACTGCAGCAGGCTAACTACATGGCTCATATTTTTGTGAGGTGTGCGCATTTATGGTTGGAGACTCCCTCTGCTATTCCAGAGCACAAAGTGAAATGCCTTCGTATTGCTTCTACAATGAATATAAGTAAGAAATACAGAACACAGCACTGTTGCCAGTTCCTTCGTCTAATCTGAGAGGTCAGTCGTGATTTTAAGTAACAACATACCCACCCCCTCCGCAGTAAAGGTTTAAGTACAGTTGTTTTGTGATACAGCAGGCCCCTTACCAGCTGCCTTGGGAATTTTCATGGTAAATGCAGCACACACACCACCTTGTTAATGTCTGTCTTCTTCAGGGAGGGAAAGGGAAAGGTGTTTTCAAGGCTGTACACAAAATATGTTCTTGAAAAAGGATGACTTCTCATCCTCCCATGGTTTAATGATTGCTAGAGGGAGATTCTACACCTTCTGAAAGGTCAGTGTATCCATACCCAAAATGTTATACCCACCAGCAGTACATTCACCTGCTGTAATGAGTGTTCTTCAAACAACGTCTTCAAACAACTTATTTTCTTTACTTTTTCAAGCATGGTTTCCAGCCAAGCCCTTGTCGGATGTATTGAGAGTTTTGGTAACAATTCTTATCACAATTTAGTTTCTAAAAGGACACGTGTTTTCTCTTGGTCAAAGGGAACTTCATGTTGGTGCACGGCTGCAAAGACATACATCGGCATTCTCCTTCCCAACCATTTCTTGAAGTCCCAAAGCATGGACATTCTTCCACACAAAAAAGTTACAGAAGGCCAACAAGTCTCAATGAAAATCATGAGAAAAGTCAGCAGAGCTTTAGGGAGGAGAAATGGAAGACAACATTTGGTGTCCCGCTTATAAATAACTTAAGACAACCTCAAAACACATACAAACAGAAAAATCTCATATTCCACAGATGTTACAAGATTCAGCGACCTCTTGGGGGCACAGGTGGAGGATAAAAGCCTTCACAGCTTACAGGCCTATAAAAAGAGAGAATGCAAATACATTAAAAAATAGTAGAGTACAAGCTTTCTCCTGAAGATTAGATGAAGAGCAAGGGAAGAGATCTAAAGATTAATTTTTATTTTTCAACCTAACTACAGATAAGTTCCAGCTATATTCTTGCCAAAGCCAAGTCAAAATACAGAACTTACTGCACCACACATCAGTAATTACTGTTTTAACAGCTGGAGAATTTTACTATGATCTGTCCTTAGATAAGCCTCTGAGGTCTGGACTTCATAGATTTGCACTGATTGGGCTAAAGGAATATTTACAAATTACTTAAGGTTGTGGTCGTCTGATCAAATCAAGACAAAACCCCTCAATACCTTTTATAAAACCAGTGCAGTTCTTACTCTGAGGCCAATCATAAATGTAAACAAGTGTCCTTTGGAGAGAACAGAAACTTGTGAAAATAAAGGTAATTCCCTCTGCGCTACACTTTATCCATTCCAAGAGGATCCTCTCAGCAGTATCAGGTCCTAAATCTCTGCCAGGAGCAGGATACTATTCTACCTGGGTCTGTGTTATTATGGGAAGCATGGTGTGCTTCGAGGGTGCTGCCCCTTGCAGTGTGGGACCCACAGCAATAGCATCACGATAGGCATGTTACCTCAGGAAACGAATCCCACCAAGTATTACAGATGAGAAATAAGGATCTTACAATCCCTAACAGTGTGCGTTTATAAATATTAGTCTGGCAGATTTTGTTCAAAGACCCGTTTGTTTCCCGCCTTGCTTTCTGCTCAAGGCTTCCATATCGATTCACTGGAAGCTCGTGTTTGATCTGCATTTTAGCTTTACCTGCTTGCACCTCGAGGAGGCACTCTGGGAGGCCTTTCTGGGAAAGGTTGCCTCTCTGCTTGGTGGGCAACTGGGCTGCGGCTTCTCGTTGCTTCTGGGACTTCATTGTCCTAAAAAATGAAGGGAAGAGGATACAGACCAGCAGAATTTCATTCTTGTTAGCTATCCCAACAGAAATGGATAACCATTTGTGCAAATGCAATGCCATCCCTGAGCTCCTTTTTTTTTTCATGAAAACAAAGTCATGTACTTAAGGACAGTGGACCAGTATATAGCACAAGTGAGAACTTACCTCACTGTCCCCTTCCATCCCACTGCTGACACTCAATATGCTTCGAGTACTGGAGCGGTTACTTGCACTACCTGGAGTGAATAAGCAAGAGAAAACAAAATTATTATTAAATCCTGGTGATTTATCTGCAAACCACTAACTCAAGACTCCTTCTAATCCCATGCTTACTTCTTGCAGCTTGATGTCATCTGCAAACTTGCTGAGGGTGCACTCAATTTCCCTGTCTATATCATTGATCAAGATATTAAACAGTACTGGTCTCAGTATGAACTCCTGAGAGACACCACTTGACACCCATTTTCATCTAGATATCAAAGCACTGAACTGTACCCTCTAGGTGCATCCACCCAACCAATTCCTTACCCACCTAACAGTCCACCCATCAAATCTGTATCTTATGACAGGAATGTTTCCTAGTCTGTTTCAGAGCTAAAAATGACAAGTCTGAACAAACAACTTTCAGCAACCATTTATGCAAATCTATTTAACTTGCATGGACTCAGAGAAGGAAATGTTTTTGCAATCAGTCATGTCATCTCCAAAGGGGACAGCAACTCACAAACATATCCTACACTGCTATGGCTGGTTGTAGTTCTATAGGGCTGTGCAATACTGGGACAATAACGTTCAGAAACCGATATACTGAGATGGAAGCTAGAGAGGTTTTCTCCTAATATGCAGTCCCTCCCAGGCTCAGTGAGGTAGCTCTATCAGTGGGTACAAACAGCAGCACTTAAGAGTGCTAAATACTGGGGTAGGGTTGGTTCTCACAATCATGTCACAGGAAGGACAGCCAAGCTGCACACAGTGAACTCCACAGGTTCGTTAATGTTTCTCTCACAACTGCTTACATGCACGTTACTGCTGTTAGCTGCCTCTGGCACCTATTCTGGATGTGTGCCAGCTATATCTTGCAAAGAACCACAAAAGTGGTAACCTCACTGGGACTCAGTTTTCCTTTCAAAGAATCAAAATTATCTTAACAATTTCTGCAAGAATTGCTCAGTCTGCAGTAACAGTAAGAATGTAGGCATTTGATTTGCACAAATTAAACCTATTAAAACCCAAAGATAATAAAAATGTGCAGACTGTCCAAATCACTCAAGAGGTCCCACAGTTACCAATGAAAAATCCTGTTCTTTATCTACAACAATAAAGGAAATAACATGTCAAGACTGGTTCCTAGCCTGCATTACAACTATGTCCTTCAGACCATAGGAGCACACTGTCTGCTGGAGTCACAGCAAGGGAGCATCCTTTTTTCTAAGAGACCAGCTGCCATCTACTTTTAACCATAGAGGCCAGTTGATATGCCTTCCCTGACAAGGCTCAAGGGAGTCTTTCACTCAGCTTTGAAGTTCTCCTCTTGCAGAGATGCAGATACAAGATACCCAAAACAACTCGATGTCTCTGGAGTTGCTTTTACCATTTTGAGAACAGCCAGCCTGAGGCACGCAGGGTTTGTGGTGACAGTGTCAGCACTGGGATTCAGTAAGAGAAGTCCTGTCCTGACCTGACTCTAAAGCCAGGCTGAGGAGCTGTTTTCCATCTAGTTTTCCTGTAGAGAAGGTGACACTCGGGGTTTGCTTACTTGTTGTGCTGGATGTGCTTTCTGTTTTCCAGTCCCCTCGCTTTAACTCCTTTTTTGGTGGAAAAAGGTTTTTCCTGGGGGCATACTCATAAATTCCACATTCTGGTTTCCCCAGCGTATTATGAGAATGTCGAATGGGCACTGTAATTTCCAAATCTGGAAGGGAAAATGAACAGCTCAGAAGGGTCTATGCAAGCATAGCGTCCGAGTGACACCTTTGCACCGGAGAACAACGTTAAACACAATCACATAAGATCGATCATAACTACACAGAATCATAGAATGGCCTAGGCTGGAAGGGACCTTAGAGATCATCAAGTCCAACCTCCCTGTCATGGGCAGGGACGCCACCTCTCGACTAGACCAGGCAACACACGGGGACCGAGCAGGAATCGAACCCGCAACCTCGGTGTTGGTCATTGTTGCCAGCACATGAATGATCAAGATTAAAATATCACATAACTAAAATACACATTGAGATATTTCTACCTGAAAGAGCCTATAAATACTGTTAGCTGCTTCATTACCACAGAATGTCAAAACCAGAGACTGTTACCTGCACTTTTGTCTTTTTTTTGCTTCTCCATTTGCCTCCTGGTTATGCTGTCTCGTAGCCGTTTCAGATTTTCCTAGAAACACCACAAGATATTATTTTCAGGTCTTTGGATAAAGGGGAATTAGCAGCTTTCTGACAATACCAGTATTACTTTTCAGCTGATATTGCAACCAGGCTGTAACAAAGCCTGCTAGACCTGGCTGAAGTCCAAACTGTGTCAACAGGTTTTAATCTATCCCCTTTAGAGAAGCCCAGTTTTTTCAGATGTTCATTGTGTATGTTAAGGTAGGTCAAGTTCACAGACTCACTTGGCAGCTAGAGATAAGTAGCACATTTGATTTAAAACTCCCTCTATTTTCTGTTTCCACTGTGACACTGGCACAGAAAGGAGACCCACGACCAAGTAACTGCACAGTCCTTTCTGTACTCATGAACAGACAATTCTGACTGCAGGGACAGAAGAGGCTGCCACACATCCCAGAATGTGTGGGACAACTTGGAAAGAATTCAGGATGTGCTCGCTGAAGCAAGAAGGGACAACTGGAAATGTCACTGGGAGCAAAGTCTTTTCACCATTGTATGGCACTAAGGAAAGAGGGGAGGAAAAGAAAAAAAGACAACTTTTCCAGCAGGGAAATATGTACATGTGTAAGAGGAGGGAAGGCCTGAATAGGCAGAAAAGCAGACAGAGCAACTGCTGTACTGTGAGGCGGGATCCAGAGCAGAGACTTCGAAAGCTGCTCATGGCATGAGGCACAGAGCACACCACTTCCTATCTGCTACAGACATCTACTGAAGTGGCACTGTGTTCTTTACTGACAGAAGGGGGGATTCCTCCAACTGTTTCTCCATAGAGAGGACACTTCCAAGTGAGAATCAGGAGGATTGTCCTGACAGCCCCCAAAACAGTGTTACACACCACAGAACAGCACCTCAAGTGAGAGAGCAGGCTGCTGCAGCAGGAACAAAAGGCTCCAAAAAGAAGTAGGCAGTGGGTTTAAAGAGGAAGACTCACTCTAACTTGAGAATGGAAATTTAAAACTAAGATTGCTAGTTCCTCCAGTCCTTATGCCAACATAACAACTCCCTCACCCAGCTGAACCACCCAAACACTGTGCTTTCACTAATGACTCCTGCTAGACCTTGCCCAGCTGCAAAGAACTAGTAGTCTTGGGACCATCAAACACCCAGGGAGGGATTTGACCATCTACAAGACAGGACTTTAAAGCCAATACACCATCTGGGACACTGAGAATTCACTGATCTGAAATGGATGAGAACTGACAAGCTAAATGTTCATCACAGAAGCCCCCTGCGAGCAGGCAGGTGCTAGGTGACCTCTAGAAAAGTAACTTAGCCAACTGGCTTTGGCCCGATTCCTAGTGTACAGATTCCACAAACTAACAGTACTACTGCAAGACAAACAGATCTGTAAAACAGTTACCTGCTTGCTGCTGCATGGGAGCAGCCCCTCTGTGTCAAGAGAGAGCTCTGATAGCTGTGGGACTGTGTTATCAGTCTTCCTGCTCCAGCCAGGAAAGAAACGTACACACACTGAACAGCTTGTGATGTACACCTAGAAAGACATCTGTACTTCTTAAACATCAGTGCAATAAGCCTGTACCTGCTGGAACCGGAATGATTCTGATCTCTTTTTCTGGTTCAGTTGCCACTCCTTAAAATGAAGTACAGCTTCATCAACGGTGAGTATGCCCATTTTCACTTGCTCCTGTAATGTAATCAGCTGCCGCTGACCTGGAGTTTTCATTCCGGCAAATGGATCATATATGCTTGATTGAGACATGTCCCTTACAGGCCTGACTATCGTCTCTGAAGAGAGAACATGAAAAATATTATTGAACTTGTGGCATCTACCTTCCTCACTGAATACAAAGAAACTCAAGCACCCTTGATATAGCAGAGATACAAAAAAAATCACTATTACAGACTGAAAGTTTCCCTAACCAGAGGAGTGTTTGGTCTTTATGCTTGCTATTTGTCAGGGCTAAAAGCCCATCTCAGAGGTAACTTTGTATGCAAATACGTCCCAGGGATAATCTCTGTTCTTAAAAACATAATTTCAGTGAACAGCACAAAACATATTCCTTAAAGTGCTCCGCTTCCTCACAGCAAAAATCTCTCTCCTCAGCAATCCACAAAACAGAGCTTTCACCTTGTCAGTCACAAAGCTGGACTCTTCCCTAGGTAATTGGTGCAGTATAACTCCAGAAACAGAAAGGTGAAAACTCATCCTGCTGATGTTGGGTCTTTGTAACTCATTTGCAACATAAGAAGGAGTTACCAACATATGAAATAAAGGCGCAGATGGGGCTCCTGGCGCTCTGATAGGGCACGTGATAAGAAGTGCACGAATAAGGGCACAGTTTTGGAACATCAATGGCAAGCAGTTCACAAAAGGTTAAATCCCAGGAAATAATAAACAGACAGTGGATATATCCAAAAGAACAAAAGTGGGACATTGACCCCACAAGGTAATATGGGTCACAACATAAAAAAGGACTTCAATGATCATTATGAACCTGACTAAGGATAAAGTCCAAGACAGTGGATATGTACAGTATGTGATAAACCCCCCGTACACTCTGCAGTTACAAAAAATTTCCAATATCATATCAGATCACAAAGGTTGAGTCATTCCTGTAGCACACTTACCCCCAGAGCCTTGTAAAACAGACTATTCTGTCACACTTCACACAGAAGAAGCTACCTCAGCAGATTTGCTTTTGGATTACTGGAAAGGTTTTCTGGATGAACTTCTGACTTACCTTTCTTAAACTTTCCTCTGGGGACATAGAGATTTTCAGGTCTTTGAGCTTTCTGTGCAAAAACTGTAAAGTAAAAAGTCTTTAGATGCTGAAATGCACCTCATGAAGACAGAACTAGCAAAGATGAATATGGGAAGCATACAAAATTCTGCACCCTACTAAATCTTTTGAAGAAAATAAGGTAAGGAGTTGTACAGTAAAACTCCCCTCCTATTGACCTCAAAGAATTTAGCTCAGCCATCTCTAAGAGAAACCCAGAAATGCTCTTCCCACAGTCCTGTCATGGGATGGGAAGGAGGAGTCACTGAAATTATTTTCCCACATGCTACTGTAGTTCTTGTTAGAACACTTGTGAAATATGTCCAAGATTTCCAAAACTGCCTAGCAAACTAAGAGGCACAATTTTCTTCAATCTCAATTACACCCCACTTCAGAGGGAGGTAATAAGGTATAGAATCATGTCCTATAGAAATGCTACTGAATCAACGATACCATTACAGAGCAGCAATGTCTCAATTTATTACTTTGATTGTGTCCTTGTAATATCAGGATCGTTTCTATTTATTTGGATTTGCTTACGCCGTTTGAAGGTAATCTGTTGTCCTACTGCTTTCATTAAGAGCAAGCTCAGGCCCAGACCTCAGTATACAACATCCTCACATTTACAGAACAGGCAGAAGATGAAAAACAGATCTGAAATTGGATCCCCAAGGTAACCCATCTCAAGCCAAATAATCCAGGGGTCTCAAAAACATGCAGATTTTCTTGGTGTTTATTCAGCAACTGCAGCCCATTTCACGGCCATTCATACAGTTGATTAGTTTACAGTTTAGGTCCTGGTACCCAACTTACTTTTGGAGATGTACAGCTCATTGTCCGGCTGTGGAGAGCTAGATTCTGGTCTTGGAACAGGAACTGGAGGTCTGCTAGCCATTTCCTGTGGAAAAGTATCTTGTTCCACTGAGTAGTATACATCTTCACCATACTGCTGGTAAACTTCTTCCTCTGAATGTGGCACATCCATGCTACTGCCTACATCAGAAGAGGGTTTGTAAGAAAAACAACATGGCCACTTCACTGAATACCAGATCCCTCCAGATGCACTACATACCAAATCCTTACCAAGCCAGCCATTTCACAGGCAAAAACATCCAGTTTTGCAGTGACTTAAAGTGCCAAAGCCCCTTAAGACAGGACTTGATAAACTCATGAAGATGTAGTAGCGTGTGAGTGTTTGCCACTAAGCCTGTACCATCTGTTCTGGTGAAGATACCATGGAGTAAAATCTCATAATTGTTTTTAAGAACCCAAGAAACAGTTAGTTCAATTAACTAATTAGCAAACTATAACAGTTAACAAATCACACAGAGCACTGTTTTCCAAAAGCTACTTGTGGTGGTCTACAAAGTACTACAGAGGATTATTCCTTTGCCTGAAATGAGCTGTCACCATCAGCTGACAATGTATGTCATCTCAGAACAATGTGTTTCAGAGGGAGCTGGGTACGCATGTCTGTACTTAACAGGCTCAGCTACCTTTACACCATCGCATCCTCTCCATTCTGTTTTCACTCCTATATGACTGTGTGACCTACTGTAGGTGATCCTGCTCGGGCAGGGGGGCTGGACTAGATGATCTTTTGAGGTCCCTTCCAACCCCTGACATTCTGTGATTCTGTGATGACTGCAATGCTGTCATACCCAATTTAAAAGCTAGTTGCCCTCTGTTTGCACGCTAGCAAAAATAATTAAGAGCCCCTGGACTAACTCCCCACTCTGTTACCAGGTCACAAATGAGTATCCTAACTACAGGACTAACCTTCTTTTAGTGTTGTTGTAACACGTAGTTGAGTCAATGCACTAGGACTGCCAGAGCACTGGTGTTGGCAGGGATAACACAACAACATGTTGAAAGTCCCAGATTTAGCCTTGCTGTGAGACCAACTGGGTCCCCCAGAAAAAGCGACCCTGTATCTCATGGAATCTGGTGAGGCAGAGTCAGGAAAAGGCTTGGACAAGCCAATCATGCTCAATGGGTACATCACGGAGCCAAGGTCTGGCTTTAGTCAGAGAAGGCAGAGGGAGCTCGAAAGCAGTAGAGCATCAATCAGGTTCAGGAGCCAGCAGCTCTTCTCCTCTTTCCAGGCTACTCTTTTCAATGGATGAACTTTTGAATAAAGCATCTACATTAAAATTCAGCACTAGCCTGTGCTGCTCTACTTTATACTCAGCCTCTACACATGAGGGGAACCTGCATCCACATCAGGACACTAGAATTCATTCCAATTACTAAGATAAGGACAAAAGACTATCTATTCAAATTCCTGAACTATATTCAAGTTCTGAATCTGAAATCTCTTCACATTCCTGAATAGATACCAGCTGTGTGCATACACTAACTGGTAGGCAGAGACTGGAACTAGAAATTACCCCTCTTTGGTAAGAAACTAACCCCATCACCCCACAAGCTGTTTCTTCTATCATGCCTCCTTTGTACTCACTAAGGCAAAGCTATCCACGTCAAACAATGTGGACCACCTCCTGTTCTGAACCAATCAAGGAGAAATATCAAGATCCATTTAACTGCTTTAACTGTGCTACTGCTATCCCTCTCTCCAAACAGGTCGTACCTTCTAAAAACTTGCGGAGCATTGAGTCTTTTGTAGTTAGAGAAACTTCATCTCCTGCAACTGGAGTGTCTGGTTTGGACTGAAGCATCTCTACATCTGGAAAAAAACAAAAGACCACAGAAAGATGAATCTGTTGATTATGCCTTTAAACATTTTGGAACAATGTAATGTAACATAATATAATAAAATTATGTGATATATCTCATTAGAGCTTTGGTTTATGGTGAAAATCAAAGAGGAAGGCAGGCATCTGACAAGAAATTCACATCAAAAATGTTCCTAAGTTCCCATGTTCAGTCCACTCTGCACAAATCTTTGCCAGCTGCCTGATGCTTAGTTACGCTTGAGGCTGACTAACACTGCTTATTGAGAAGTTCTGACAAGGCTCCAAGCAGGCACTGAGAATTAGCTATTATTGAGAGTGTGTTGGTCAGGTGAAGGTTTTGGTCTCTGCACAGTGCTCCCGAGAGGCCAAACCGAGCAGAAACTGCAACTTGGCAAAACATTAGACATTAAGGGCAATGTGCCCATGATACAGAAGATAGTATTTGTTTTGTTTATTGGATAAAAGACAAAACAGCTGGTCGAGTTAATTCATTGGACTGGAAGGTGTTGTGAGGATCAGGTGATAATTTACTATTGAGAAAGAAGTGCCAGCAAACAATAAAATACTTTAAGTCGGTGTTTTGACATGAAGAATTCTGATTTTTAAAAAATGGTCAACCTCACTGTAAGCGTAAAACTAATCCTAAGACTAAAATAAAGTGGTAGGTAACCATGCTCCTTATGATATTAAAAACAAGAGTGATACAAATGTACCGTTGAGGCTTGCTGATATAAGTGAATTGTTGGAGCACATTGTGAAAAATCTATCACTATGTAAAGTGGATGGTCTGGGTTACATGAAAGAATATGAAATAATTCTTTATAAATGTCTTTTTAATATTTGCTGACATTTCTTATTTTTTCCTGCAAAGCTGAGGAGATTATGAGAAAAGGTTAAGACTATGCTAGCAAGATGCTCACCATCAATCTAACATAAAGTTCATTAAAGTATTGCTGCACTACGTGGAATCACAGATTTGACATTTAGGCATCCTAAAGAATCAGCACTCCAGGCCTGTATTTTTCTGTAGAGCAATTTTTCCACCTTGCAGCCACCTTCATTATTTTTAATGTAGCTTTTAGAAATGAACCTGTAGCAAATAAAAGCCTGGAGGAAAGCCACTACTTTATGGATTTGGCAGCAGAATAGAACACAACAGGTGTGCAAAGTTTCTTTCATTCTCTGTGGAGGGAACAGTATCTTCCTAGTTTTGGCTGTTCTCTGCAGAATTACTAAACCAGCAGTGCAACAGGATACTGCAGAGTTTGTTTTCTATCACACAGTCAATGTAGTTAAATTCATCAAAATTAGTTTTCCTTAGAAGGCATGATTGCCGCCTCATTCATTACTCTCTTGCATACAGGTCTGTCTTGCATACAGATGAGGCCTAACATCCCACCCACATAATGCAATTGAAAAGAAGTTTTCAACTTCATCAATGACATCTTCTGTTCCACTTGCTGCAAAAACAGGCTAGCAAGACAGAAGTGACAAGAAGGTTATGACACAAACTTTGGGTATCACAGGAAAGGTCCCCAGATTTTCCTGAGGCTATTGGGGAAAGCTGGTCTGAAGGGTTAGCAAGAAGACAGTTAAGTAGTTCCTAGATGTCCGAATTCAGTAGATAAAAGATATTTATTCAAAGAGTTTCAGTTTCCCTTTGTAGAGTTTGAGGGTACAGAAGGGGGCTCAACCAACCTGCAAACAGACAGACATACAGAAGATGTGTTAGGACCTACACACCTTTCACAGCAGCTAAAATATCCAGTGTGGGTACCCATTAGAAAGTAATTACAGTGTTCCCCCTAGATGCCAGGTATTCCCGCACATGATGCAAGCTACCTCTTTACAGAGCCCTTTATTAGGCAAGACAAAGGCTTCAATGTGTGGGTATAAATCACAACTCAGTACTTTATAAGCAGTTATATTTTTGTGCACAATTCTCTCAGTTTACTCAAGGATGACATGAACCTTCTTTGCATTAACTACAGAAAAAATAAAAATCAATGAGGATAGTGTTGAAAGCTTGGTCTCAACAGAATAAAAATGGTAGAGGAGAAAGAGCACACACAACATAGCAAAATAAGGGCATCCCAACTTATTTCCATGTGAATTAGAATCTATTTTATAGGTGTCAGAGGGCTGCAAATTACAGACAATAGATTTTAGTCAGCTGAAACACATAAGCACAAACAAGGCAGTTTAGTTTCACACATATCAAACAGGTTTTCAGCACTTTCAGGAGTCCTTGGTCTCAGAGTCCCTCTTGCATACACCTCCAGGCTACTCAAAATACTTGTTTTGTAAAAATCAGCAGGAGGTGCTGGTGAAAGGAAAGCATTTTATCTGATGCCGTAGTTCATACTACCAGACTGATATGATGGAGGTAATCCTCTGTTCTTACTATTCAGCTGCTGTTTGCTACTGTGTGTGAGTGACTCAGCTAATCGACATTTACCTGCAACTTGCACCAACCTAGAGCATATTCTGGAAAATTATGTTTTACTTTACAGGTATTTGAAAAGTGTAATAGGAGGGAAGTGCTCTTTTGAAATGGAAACAATTAGATTAATGATAAGATATTAAATAAGGCAATTCAATCTTATTATCAATAAACACCAAACAAGGTAAGAGCAGTAGCTACTACATTCCCCACTGATTTTGTTAAAAGTACTTTATGATCTCCACTGCCCAGGGCATTAAGACCTGCCTGGGAAAGAATGCTCCCCTCTAGCAGGAAGCAAGGCAATGTTCTGCCCATGAATTTAAGCTTTTCAATTTTTTAAAAATTTTGTTATTTATCTCATAGCTTAAAGGGACAACGAGCAACTCAACACAGGTGTGTGCAGCTCTCATGCAACATCAGTTTAAGCAAAACTGGGCCCTTGCAGAGCTTCCACACTTTCTCTGTAAATGTCTCACCAGGACTAAATGTAGAGAGAAAAAAAAACCCCACAAAAGTGCACTGAAAAAAATCAGAAGTGGGATGAAGAATACAAGTACTAACAGAACTCCAGTATTTGCTACTACTTTTAACTCATACAATGGCTCCAGTCCTATGTTACCTTACTCTCAAACCAGTTCCTGCCAGACAAACTGACCCTGAGGTATGCAACCTTGCTTTGATCTCTGAAAAACTGTAGTGGAAGCACATCTCGATTACACTAAATGGGCATGCTGCAACAGTATGACTACAATTAAAATAGCACAGATATTGTCCTATATATCACAGTCATAACTACTCACATAAGGGCTACTCTGACTTGGAGAAAGTACCTCAGTAGAAGTTGATTATGATTTCTCAGGGAATTTTTCATCCTCACAAACCTTTAAGTCAGTACAAAAGCTTGAAGCCTTTATTTGTGACAGAAGTTCTAAACCAGACAGCACTCCCACTAATTCCAGTTAGGCTTTGTCTGTGTGCTGGTATTCTAAATAATATTGAAACACCTTCACTTAGACAGAACCAATCTGAGTGTTAAGCATTGTGCCAATTTGACCTTACCTGTCACAATACGGGTAGATTTTAAGCACTGTTAAATTCAAGCAAAGACTAACAGACTGCATAAGAAAAAGAGACTTTCAGTAAAAGACTCATGAGTGGAAGTAACGAAGGTTTGTGTGCAGTTGGAGAACTCCAGAAGAAGCAGGAAACACGGTCACATTCCTTGCTGAGGTATTAGAGATAAGCCATACACAGCATCTCACCAATAAGGAAAACATTTTAAAACACAGAATTATCCATCTCTGCTTTTCGGTAAAGAAATCACAAGTACCTACTTTAGGGACAGCTCTGTTGTTTATCTTTCTAGTCCTACTAGCCCTGCTGATCCCATAGACCTCCGCCACCCTGCTGATGTGGCTGGTGCCTGCAGAAATCTCTCCCAAAGGACACATGCCTGCTGGGCCTTTGCTACTGAGGAGCCTTGAAGAAAGTGGCTGACTTGGGCTTCAAACACACAACCTTTCCTACCCCAGAGCAACCTTTCCTAGCTCTCCATCTCCACAAGTGTCAGACAGGCAGGCTCTGTTATGCATATTCATCCAAAACACCAGCCAAACTCCCTCCTGAGATCTGTCAGTCACAGTAAGTCAGGGCAGAAAAACTTGTGTACTTAGACTCTTTAACTTTATGTGGTTTGTTTGACAGAAACAGGCAAGGAGACGCACACATACAAGCAAATGAGACAGCAGACTGATAGAGGTGGGGATCTTCAGCAGAAAAGAACAAACAAGCATCTTAAAACAATTAGTTCTTCCACTAACAGTCTGCAGGGCTGGCAAATGGTTTTCTTGACAGGGAGCAATTCTGATCTAAAACTGAAGCAATATGAAAATATTTTCAGAGAGGCTTTTCAGAGTCCACTTCAAAAGTGGCAAGTTACAGGGAGCTTGATTTGCACCCCTGTAATAAAGGAATATCCCTTGCATAGTTTCTGGGAGATCTGTACATTTCAGGAGTGGAAGAGGACAAGTTGGGCTTAATGGTTTTAGGATTTTTTTTTTTTCCCCATCCACAGACTTAGTGAATTAACCCCATTGAGAAGTGCACTGATTGCAGGCAGAGCTTTCAACATCTAACAACTCTCACTCCCAGTACTGCAAACAACAGCAGCTTTGTTGCTTAGAAGTCCAACCAGCCTTTCTGCTTATCTCCACCTGAAGGCGGAATAATTCTGGTTTTGGTAGCAAAACTACCCCTGCAGCAGCCAAACAAAACTTCACAGAAAAGAATTTATGATTTCAGACAGAGAACGAACAGTCTTCTTGACTCTGTAATCAATGAAAATGTGTTTTATAGCATCGTTTAATCTAGAAGAGGAGATAACCAGCCTAGGACAGAAACAGTTTATAAGTGAAAGTGTTCCAGTGAGAAGGCCTTTCGCCTGAGGCAGCACACTTCAAACTGCAGAAACACTAGAAGACCTTATGCAGGTACTTGTACTGCAGTAAGCTAGATTCTCTGCTTATTGTGGGAATCATAAAATATATTAGAGGAATAAAGCCAGACCAAATAGGCAGATAAGCAGAAACACCAAATTTACAATTTCTTAACTTGATATTTCCAATTGGTCTTACTGATTATTAATGGAACGGTGAAAAAGTTAAATATCTGTATATTTATCAGAATCAGCTCTACATTTGTAGCAATAAATCAAGTGGATTCAAATAATGATTTTTCAATTATAATCTTTTCAGTACACATTTCTAGATGTTCGCTTTCTTTTGTTCTCAAGCTGTTGAGGCAGAAGCTGAGCTCTTGTTTTTCAGCTTCCCAGTTGTCAGTAAAATCACATCTTACATAGTGTTATTTTCCATCAGTGTCTGTAAGTCAGAATGTCCCGACCTCCCTGGATTGCAGGAGGGAAAAGCACGACCTGGTAGAAAATTTGGTCTTTTCCAAACACTAATTCACTTGTTCAGGGTTCAGGGAGTCCTCAGAGCACTGAGGAACCAGTTCCTGTTCTCGTACACTGGCAATTAAAGAAAAGTTTCAAGCAATTTTATCAGCCAGCCAACATCAGAACTGGAGCATGGTTGGCCTGTGGTGAGAGCAGAAAAGCCATAATAAGCCCTTACTCTAAAACTCATCTGAGGTGCTACTGTGTGTAAGAGACACAGACCAGTTGAGGCCTCTTGAAAAGGGGCTCTGAGCAACCCAATCCACTTGAAGATGTTCCTGCTTACTGCAGAGGGGTTGGATAAGATGACCTTTAGAGGTTCCTTCCAAACCAAACCCTCTTATGATTCTATGATTCTATGAATATACATACAAAGATCTTCTGTGGCACCAGGAACAAATCCAGCCATGGATTCATAAAGCTCTTCATCGGAGCCAGGATTCAAGGAACATTTCATTAACAGATCAGTGGACAAGTGAGCCATGGATTCATAAACAGACTCATCTTCCTCGCCTTGCATCAGCTCTTCCTTAATGTGACTCTTCAGCATATCTGCAGTTTCCTGGAGAGGAATGAGAGCAAGAAAATAATGTTTACATCTCATTTAAAAAAAGAACTTGGTCCATCAAAAAAAGCGAAAAAATCTCATTCTCCCATCACTGCTGGAAAAGAAACTTCTAAACCCAGCCCATTCCCGAAGACTAAGGCTTCTCAAAGGAATTAAATCCCCACTACAGCTGTCTGGGTCCAACCTTCAAGATGCACATTGTAATAATAGGTAAGAAAGGTGAAATTAGTTGGTGCTGACACATTCTGTAAAGCTGTTACAGCCTCTCACCCTCTTAATTTCATGTCCTACTCAATGTCTGCAAACTCTTAGTACATATGCTATACTCATTCTAAAAATACAAATGCTTGTCAACAGCTATTTTGATGCAAGCCATAGCTGACCATAAGGGGTAAAGCTTGCCACATGCTGAGCACTTTCAAGAAAGCAAAGTTTCAGCTTTGGTGTAGATTCAGTTTCAGTTCTGTGGCATTAGCAGCAGCACGTTAACACCTAGAGTGAGAAACACAGACCCTTTTCTGTGAGATTAACAGGAAACCTCACAGTAGGCAGCTGTTCATGTAATACAGGCACCTTTCAATTCACAGGACAGCAGAGCCCTTTCTCAGTATTGCAACATGGGATGCAGGGAGGGCAGTGTAGGTATTCACCAAACCACACAAGGGAGCAAAATGTAAATCTTCATTCCAGCCTCCTCCCCAAGTTCCAACTATGTCACAAGCACAGCCATCTTAACCAGTTGCAGTACTACAAGATGTTCTTCCATCCACAACTGCCACCTCAATGGGCCTGCGTGTGAAAACTCTCTACACGTGCTTCCTCCACAGTCAAAACGGGTCAGGCAGGGAGCTCATGTGAGGCTTTAGGGAGGCGCAGAGGAATTTTAGCCAGAGAAAAACATTGGGTGAGTAAAGGAGTTTACTGGGCTTTTCAGATACCCCATACTAGTAGTGCTTCTATTCACTATCTTGCAGCGGACACACTGGTGCAGATCCTCTGTGTGCCTTGGTACCAAGCTGCAGACAGCTTAAGCAGGACCTACTCTTAACACAGGTCTGTCACTTTGCCGGTGGAGACAAGGAGATGGGAAAAGCATAGCAATGCAGTGAGAGGTTGGAAGGACTTTCTAGGCATCTCTCCCTTATCCCAATGCAAAGATTTTAACCATGCAATTTACAATTTCTGCAGTCCTCCTGATCTCAGAACTGGGAACCATTTTTATTTACTCTAATGTATAAGCCTAAATTCATGCTTATGTCAAGCACCAAGCCCCAAACCTAAGAACCACCCATGCCTCCTGCATAGAGCTTAAACACTACTCTAATTGGCTGGCAAAACCACACTAAGGCTGGCAGATCTATCAACCACCATCAAGACAACTCTTAGGGACAATTACGCATAACTTTTCAACTGAAAGCATAGGCAAATAAAACCTGCTCAAGAATTCACGTGATCTGAATCAAGGAGCTGCTTGTTATTTTCAAGCATACAGGCTGGAAACAACTCAAATGGAAAAGAAAGGATAAACCACACATACGCAAAGGATCCCACAGAAACAATTGCCTGGTACAGCTGGAGCCAAGTCCATGTCATAACCTGCAAAACTCAGAGTTCTGCTTTCTGGGGATGGGGTTAGTTCAAAGACAGTTGAATTGTGAAGTGGGCTCCTTGAGAGAACAGGTGAGGAACGGACAGCTACCCAAGTGCCACCTGCTGTGGGACAACGCAGAAGGGCTGCTGCTTCCTCTTACCACATATTCATCGATGAATTGGCGCAGGTCCTTAAAGCCATGCTTTTCTGCTATAGTGTTTGGATAGTGGCCATATTTGTTGGCCACACTGTAGGCTTGCAGTGCTCCAGGGCACGTAAGCAGCAAGGCAGTGAGATTCTTCAGCCCGTATCTTGCAGAGAAGTGAAGCAGTGTTGGCAACTCCTCATCCCTCTGATCTGTGAGAACAGGAACCTGTTAGAATCTAAGTTTCTCTCTAGCAGCAACAGAGCCAGTAGGCGAGATACAGAATTCCCAGCAAGTGTACAGACCAAAGGTGGTGTGAAAGTCCTAAAAAGTGTATCTACAGTTTCAAAATGGAGCTAACTCTGCACAAATAACTGAGGTATCTAGTGCATCTCCAGACTTAAGTCTTATGACCTTTAGTGAGGAAGCTGGTACTGTAATAGCTTAATGCATGTAGGATCACAGGTTTGCAAGGACCTCTTAGTTCATCATTCCAGTAGGATCCAGCTGCTGTAGGGCAACCATGTCAAGGTGCCAAACAAATCCAATTGCTGAGTGCCCACTGTGCACCTTACACCAGAGCAGAGTCATGGGGTTGGGGAAAAAGGACTGGGCTGGGGAGAAATGCCACACAGGACTAGGAGAGGAACAAGGGAGAAAATGAGAGACACAATTTGGGGAGTATCATCTTTTCATTTTGGTTGTGTTTGAATCTCCCTAGAAAACTGCATCTGTCATAGTGCAAGGAAGTGAGACTGATGCATATAATAAAAAAAGGAACACATAACCCAAATGGCAATTTCCCTTCTACAGGCATCACCAGAAATTTAGCTTCCAAACATCCAAGATTTTTGAGGTAGCATGTGCAGGTACCGCACACCGCAGTGGTAAAGTACTCTAAGGTAAAATAACTGATATAGATGAAATTTTAAAAGAAAGCAAAAATCTTTCAACTTACTTGTTGTCATATCTTCCTCTTCTAGCTGGTTGATTCCAAACAGGTGTAAGCCACTGGCAGGAATGTTCTTCTTGAGTGACTCAGTCAACAGTTTGTCCAGTGCCTCTATGCTGTATGGCACAATTTTAAAAGCCTAGAGATAAATGGAAAGTGATTTTGTTTGGAGATTCAGTTAAGGTGAGCTTTAAAACGTGTTTCTTTATTTAGTAGAAAACTGTAGGCCTAAACACTAAAGGCAGCAATGCTCAGGTCAAGTAAAGAACATTCCTGATCCAGAAACAGAGCATCAATAACCTGAGCAGGTGAGAACCACATGCTCCACAACAAGACCAAGTAAAATGAGAAAGTCACTCATGCAACTGGAAGCACAGGAAACTGTTACTTCCTACTTTCTTGCCAGGTATAATCTTACTTCTGAAACTGTTCCCATGACGTGTCACTCCTGCTCTAAGTATGAACTAGTCCATCTTGAATTGCTCCAGCGCACACTCTAGGTTTGGCTTTTGGACTCATTCTTCGCCAGGGACTGGGAAGCATGCCTATTCCCGAAGTATCAACTGCTCCACAACTTCAAATAAAGGGGAAGTCAGTCTCCCCTGCCCCAGGTATGCTGATGACTAGCAACACTACTTTTTCAGCTTCTGCTACAGGGCTGATCAGGGACATACCAGCAGATAACAAAGACAACACACCTGGAGAACTTGCTTATGCAAGCTTTACCCCTCCAAATAGGATTTGGGTATCTCAACTGTGCAATATATGATGTGAGAACTGAGGACTGTCTTTAAAGAAGTAAGTGCTAAGAATAAACAAACCATTCATGCCACTAGTATGAATCTTTGCTACCTTTTTGTATCTTTCCCAAGAACCCTTAGGTACAAATTTCCAAACAATTTTATGGTACTTTCTGGTATATCAAGTTCTGTCATCCCAATCATTTCAAGTCATCAAGGTCTACATGTGAGTATCGACTGACCGCTTTTGTTGTTGTTAGTTGGATAGCCTGAATCACCTTAGCCAGCTCTTTTCTCCAGAGACAGAAGCAGCACAAATGCATTTGCTAAAAGGGGATGTTATACAAAAGTCCCTAAATAACCTTGCATTTCCTCATTTCACAAGAGCTACTTCATGGCATGCACTTTTGCATATGTTCACTTGTCCAGCCTCTGAAAGAGCCGCTTGCTGGAGTCATTACCTGACACATGAACTGTACCGGGTTGGCTGCATTGGCCAACAGACTGCTGATCTCCTCCATGTCAGTATGATAGATGATGCTTGTTTCTCCCACCATCAAGTCCCCTGAATATATCTGTAGAGGGACTATCCCAGAGGTTAAATCTGTGAAAAGAAAGAGAAGAAATCACCATTAAGAACAAACAATTGGAATGAGACTGCATCAAATTCCCTTAGGATAGGAGGAGTTTAGAGATACTGACAGTGAGACACCAGAACAGTTTCTGTTGTACTGAATTCATGAAGAGTCAGGAAAAAAAGGAGATTATGTTAGTCTGAACAGTAGGTAAAAAAGTAGTTTGGAACTATCTTCTTCATAGCTATGTCAACACATACCACCTGTAACCTGCTAGGTCCTCTGCTAATGGAAGTCCAGACCACTAACATTAACACTACAACACCTCAAACTAGAAAGCTCCACATCTCTCTGCTTGGCATTCTCTGGAGCAGTCTCTAAACTGTGCCATAAATATGAGAGCTGGGGAAGAAGAGGAGAGAAACTAGAGCGGTAACTTGGGATTTGGAAACCCCTGTCAGCCTCACTAGCATCTGAACAAAATCAACTTAAAAGAATTCCAGCTTTGCAACTTTACCCATGCACAGGATTTATCTCCTACCTGCCCCTTGTGAGCCTCTTGATGTTTTGCCCAGTATGCATTCATAGGTCTGAACTCTCTTTGAAACACAAATTTCTTGAATTCCACTGAAATTAACCTTTCCCTGCTTGGCTGTTAACAACTCAGGAAATTATGAAATAGGTACAGTCACGCATGAAAGAAATAAAAATTATATTTCTCTTACTGCAAGAAACTGCAGAGCTTACATAGTTGTACACTCCACCAATGTGAGGGTCACGTTTATAATTCAAAGTGCAAGTTAGTTTCCACAGTCATGTCTAAATTATAAGTCTTGATTTAAGGCAGGTTAAACTGAACATTTTTATGTAGATAAGGTATTTTTTTTTAAATTAGCCCACCTTACTGACTTTACAGAAGTTGCTATAATGACTATTAGCCTCTTTTCTCAGAGCTGGCACTACGACTCTTCAAGAAGACAGATCAAAGTAGATTAAATAAAATCATGCTGGGACACTACTAGCAATCTGTAATCCAAAATCTTGCTCCTAAAGTCTAACCAATCTAGTTTAGACAATCTATGGTTTTGTAAATGTAACTAACTGGAGTGACAGAACATATTTCAATTAAAAGGCAAGCCAGGATAAACAGTTTCAGCTCTAATCACAGACAGATCATCACATATTAAGCACATCCTGTTATAGTCATGCAATTATTTACTGGCACTTACTTTCTCTTGGTGCCCTGCCACTGCTCACGTGGTGGTGGTTGCAACACACAGTTAAGTTCAAAGTGCTCTGCAAGCTGCAGTCTGGTCTCAGAACATACAGTAAGGTGTTTCCACAGAGCAACCCTGCCACGGCTGAGGGGAAAACAGAGCCCCCAGGCAGCAGTCTGTCCCAGTTCCTCATCACAGAAGCATCACAGAGGAGAACGCAAGGTCAAGACTTCCTGGCCTCAAGTTTTCCTGCATTGCAACCTTTACCATTATTCCTATGGCACTTTTCAGGACAGGCAGGTTGAGATAGAAAGGAAGCAGTGGGGAGAGGAGAGGCGTGAATCTCAGCCCAGCTTACTTGGAGCCTCCACAGAGATCGTGTACTCATTCTCCATCTCAGCCAGCACACGCACAGGTGACGCATTCTCTGGAGAGAATTCAACTTCAGTTTTCACTTCACTATCTAGTTTACATTTCATGATAATATAAACTGTTGTCTGTACCTAAGAGAAAAAGGCATTACAGCATGCAGGTTCACACCATAAGAACGCTTACTTTGTTAAGTCAAGGATTTGGTTGTCATTACAACTAACGCATAAATTATCATCTGCATTTTTATAGTTCTGAATGGTTTTCAGAAGCTTCTTCGAGTCAGGGAGTAACTGGGTAGGTGGCCTCTTTCTAAACAGAAACAAAGGAATAAACTTGGACTTTTTGTATCTATACTACGAAATGCTTTTTTTCAGACAGGAGGCCATGATCCAAGCTCTCCAGAGTCATTTGCAGGACATGCACCAGTATTCTGACACTAGACTGCATCGAGGCTGTAGAGTTAATTGATTCATTACAATCACCTTACTCCACTTGCCATCCCTAAATCTCACCAGAATGAGATGGGGAGTCAAGAGCATGAACCTGCCTCACAGCACACAAGACAAGAAGCTATGTTAATGAAACTATCTGTCAATAAGTGACATTGCAGCCTAGACAGCACTGGGTGCTGCCTGATCCCAAGCTACTTCTGGACTTAGGGAACCAAGCTTATGAAGCAGAGACACTGAGGACAGGGGGCTGAGACAGAAGGTGATGGAAAGGGAATTAGGTACTAACTCCCAAACCTGTAAAGCCACCCATTACAAAGCAGCATAATGGGTTGCACCAGCCCACGGTAAGCCCGAAGAGTGGACATACAGTACCCCACATCGTATCCGGCCAGGCTGCACCACTGGATGGTCCCCAGTACTCTTGAATGATCCATGTTCTTCACTCATGGCAAATCTGGGGGAGTAAACTGGGTTCTTCTCGTCTTCTGTTTCTGTATCAGTCACAGAGTCACAGCCTGAGTCTAAAAAAAAGCATACAGAGTCCTGTTACATCACTCACCTTTGCTGAAAATGCGTATGACATACAGCCATTCTGAGAAACAGCCAGGGAGATGGTGGGGTTTAACTTGCTATTCTTCTCAAAGTAAGCCTCAGAAAAGGGGATCTAGTTGAAAAAAGTGGAACTACAGAGCTTCTTCTTTTTTTTCCCTTAAGAGGATCACTGGGAAACATTCACAAATACACAAAAGTGCTGGAGTAGCACTGAACGTGCTTACAAAACAAACAATGCCACTCTTTGCTGAGGTGGATAGTTTCTTCTCATGTTAGATAGGAAAATTAGTATGGCAACACCTAATGTAAGAACGATGGGCAGCTGGGCCCATCTGACTCCAGACGTGCTCCAAATACACCATAGAACAGGCAGCAGCCTTAAGTCTTCCTCTCCTAAAGTACAAGAAGAAAAACTTCTCTTTCATTTTAGTAGTACTGTTAGTTTTCTGGATCCTGCTTATGTTGGTCACCACAACTCCCAAGTTCATTATTCTATCAATAAAATACAACACAAGGCAGTAGCCTGCAGGGATGCTGTTCCTCGAGCAAGAACTACAAGCTCCTGTATCTATATAAGAGTGAAAATGAAATATACTAGAGCCTTTGTATTGAAGAGTAACAGTACTCTACCCAAACAGACCCAGGAGTAAAAACATGCAATCCTATAGCCTGTATGTACACAACAATGTTCTCATTCCTGTTCCCCAGTAACTGCATGGATATTGATGGAAGAGCAAGCAAACTTGTCAAGGGTTAGCACTGGCTACTAGACAGACTGAGAGATGTTCTCTATTAACCCCTCTCCTCAAAAGGAAAGGGAAAAGGGAATAAGGGAGAGCGGCTTACAGATTGGAAAAGAAAACTAAAACAGTCTTAATGAAACAACACTACTACTATTAAGAAAATAATTAAATATAGACAAAATCAATACCAAAACTCCCCTGATGAATCACCACTGATGCTGCCAGGCAGGCAGGCACCAGGAAACTCCCAGACTGGGCTCAGCTGCAGACAGGAAATGAGATTCAGGAGCTGGATTTGGGAAATAGTTTCAGGAACTCACAGGTTGGAATCGAAGGCAGAAGAATGGACAGAGCCCTTCTCAGACATCAGCCATTGAAGAAGAGGGCTTAACCCTTGTGATCCCTCATGGAATACTTTTGTTGGTCAGATTTGGGACACCAGTCCTATCTGTTCCTCCCCACAGGTGTGACCTTTTATTTAAGAATGTTTTACTTTACAGCACCGTAACATGTCACACAAGATCCAGCAGCGACCTTGGTCACCAGAAGAGCAAGCATAAGAAGAGCCGTTCTGCATCCCAATCCCTGGTAGTAACTAGAAACATTGGGCATTATTACTTCTAGAAGCAGGTGCTGCCTGCAAAAATATGTCCTTAACTTCAGAAAGTACAGCTTCTTAGAAGAGACCGAGATGAAAAGTAAAATCACTGAACAGAATTGGTTCTGTTCTAGGCCACATCAGGACAAAACTGAACTGCTATCACTAGCTGCAAAAAACCCTAGCAAGAACTAATATAGATTATGGGTCTCCTACCTCTGCTAAGAAATGCTTTTCGCAAACAGAGAAAAAACAGACTATTTTTCATCTAGCACACTACTACTTTCTAGCTCTTTATTCATGATTCATATCATTTTCCCTGTCTCCCAAAACTTCAAGTGAAAGTCACTGACTTCCCATTGACAGAAGACTAGTGTGAATTCTTAAAACTCTAATCTCTCACGGCCAGAATCTTCCAAACCTTGTAAAACTGTAGAGCAGTCAAGCATTTAAGACAATATTTGAGAAGTTATTGTTTTTATAGTACTTACTGTATAACACATCTGTAAAGAGAAGTACATAATATCTACGAGATAAAATCTCAGATTTGCACTGGCAGAGTTTTTATATTAGTAAGAAATGTTCTGTTTAAAATGCTCAGTCCTGATGAGGAAGACCTAAGCAACCAACTGCACTAATCTGTGCCATCCATGCAGTGAGGCTGCCAACAGTTCAGGTTTTGCTCAGAATCCCTCAACCTCTGGGAACATCAAGCTTCCACAAATCATGAGAACCAAAGTTATTAAAGCAGGCTTCTGTTAGGTGTTCATGTCCTGCTAGTTTCAAACAGTGAAGCTAGAATTCAGTCAGGAATTTAAATCTATATATGTATTTTCTATATATTTAGATAGGATTTTATGAATGATATTTACACAAATTTTCTTTCAGGAGACAGGTTTTAAGCCACAAAATGTCAGCAAATCATTCACCTGAAATTTTTGTCACAAATAGTGGTGCACAAATGCTTAACATCAAGCACGTGAATCACTCCACATGGCAGATAAGCCTACTCACATGAGTACAAGTAGATTGCTGCTTTAATGTTTGCTGTAGGAAGAGTAGAGCCAAAAATCTGCAGCTCTAAAGTTCAAGTAAGGCATCACCACCAACATGAACATTTCAGACATGGACAGAACTGTACGTATAACTTATCAAATAGATTTTAATATTGCAGCAACACAAATCCACAGATTTGACTAAGAGACTACTTTGACACAAAACTATGCACTGAAGGTGGTCTTTTGGATTTTCAGACAGTAGTACTAAATATTACAAAAAACAGACTGAGGTTTTAAATTCCTTAACTCAGTATTTTGATGCTGCTCAAAGTAATCAACTGCAAGAGCCAGATCCCAGTTTTGGGAAACTCTTCTCTTAGGAAAGGGCAGATCACATCCACCTGGGAATGCCCAGCTGCACAGGACAAAATCAAGCAGTGGTCCCACATCCTTCCCTTACATGATAGCTATTGCGTCAGGCGTTTGGCACATGCAGAGCAAGACACCACGGCTTTTGGAGAGGAGGAGAAGAGGCAATTGTTACTAGAATAGTGTCTCTGTAATCTCTGTTGGTTATTTCCAGTATGACTAAATCAGAAAAACTAAGCTCACCACAGATAAGAGAGAGCCAGTGGTGACCAAATTACAGCAAAGCATTAATGTTCCTGCAACATATGCACAAGCTGACACTTGCCAGCATCCTGATGCTAAGGGTATCAACCCCACTCCAATATGGAATCACTAGTGTGGTAACTTGTACCTCACTTGCCCAGCATATGGTTCATTTCAGAGGAAAATGAAACTTAAAGCTGTGGATCTCAGCTACAACACCTATAGTAAGCAAGGACAAGAGGGGAGCAGGGACAGAACAAGTTCCCCAATCTCTCGGCTTTACTGATGTTATTTGATAATAGAAAATTAATAGAAACATATTAACAAATAAAGAATAACTTGAGCTTTTAAGAAGTTCTGGTATTGCACTTCCGCATTCTTGTAACCGGGTTGACTGCCTGGAGGTCATACGTTAGAAGAGAGCTGTTAGGTAATACAGGAAGAAAAAAGCAATGTTAATCAGTAATTGGATTAACAGCTGACAGAACAGGCATTCCAGGTTTTGGGTATGAGTTATTCATCCGTTTTTTTCATTCAGAAAATTCTGAAATTACCAACTTCCCACACAAGCAGTGAAACGATGCTGTGGTCATCTTGCAAGTTTCAGTCATGTGCTACTGACCTGTGCACATGCAAACACTGGAAGGGAAAATCATCCCATCACATCTATGTTCTAAAGGGATGTGTTGTTAGATCAGGCTTCCCACTCACTAAGATATTTGAGTAATGACAACTCATTTGCACGTACAGATCTGCAATTATGTCACTGTAATAACACCCAGGCTAGAGAAGCCATTACGGAGGAGAACAACAGATTAATTAGAAAGTGAATACCTGAATTGAGCTTCTCCATGAGTAGCTGCCGTAGGTCAAGAGCCTGTGTTTATAAATGGCTCTGCCTTGACTAGAGGGCCTTTCTGTGCCCCTTTAAATGAAGGCTACACTTCAAGCCATCTTTGCCAGTCTGTGAAATGCTTGCGAGAACAGCAAGGGGAGGAAATGTGGTCCAAGACACCCAATCACACTTCCCCTTGAAGAACATACCCCCCTCCAGGAAGTATCAGTAGCTGAGCTACAGAGAGCAGCCCCCACAGCCCCTTCTCACCTGCCCCGTCGGGCTCCACACACAGCTGCCCAGCAGAAACTCACACCCGGGGAAAGTCCCAGGGAAAACTCAGGCACGGCCACACGTTTCACAAGCCATTTAGCAGCTTTAGAAACTAATATGGAGCAGTGAGTTATGCTGACCTGCTGCTGTACAGCAGCTCGCTCCGTCATCCATTTCCTCCCGGCCAAGCCACCCGCTATCAGCAGGGAGCCGACAGCTGCGGTTTCTCACAAGTCAGCCCTGACACCACAGGACACGTGAACACTCAGGAGCCAGCAGCCTGTCCAGGCCACTCTGGCAGCCAGATATTAATGCAAATGGCAGGACTGGGCAACAGCCTGTCCCTATAAATCCCACGTGTGCAGACTACCCCCTCGCTGGCACCTTGCAAACACTGCCTGCTCCATCCATCACACAGCTCACGAGCCAAGACAAGGAGCTTACACAAGGCCTCGGACTTTCTTCTCAGTAGACCCAGAGCAAGGGCGAAGGCCCTCAGAAAGAGCTCCTGCTAGCACCTGAAGCTTGCAACTGGCCTTTGCCAAATGCAAACAAGGACATCAAGTCTCCTAGAGCAATTCCAGCTGCATTTGCAAGAAGCAGGTAGAGTGCTGACAACATAGTCAGGGAAAGCAGAGAAAGTTCTCTCTCACCATGCCAACCTCGGAGCCCCCGTTTTACCAGAGATACATGCTCAGCAGTAAAACACCTTGTGATAAACCCTCAAAACTGCATTATACTAGAGCAGCATTTTCCCTTTCAACAGGGTGGAGAGAAGCACACAGAAAAGCAGCAGGTGAGAAACAAAAACACAGGAGAATGTAAGACTTCATAAAGCTGTTCATACAGAATAAATAAAATATGGGACACCTCCCCCTTCTCTCCAAAGCCCTCACCCCAAGCAGCTCATCTACAAGCCTAGCACCTAAAACAAGCAGTCACATTTCACATGTCCTGTAAAGTTGGAAGTTACCATAAACTAGTTACCATTCTCGACTGAGGAAACAGGCCAAGTTTTGCTTGAGCCAGTGTGTGTACACACACTTGGGCATCTCTTAGGGCAGCTGTATCCTTATGAAGAACCCAAGTTCATACAATTTAATAACCCTTTGTGAGGTTTATTAAGAGACCAGCTGACAGGATCAATGTTTTAGCAAACTGTGAGAAGCCAGAAGGTACAGGTTTTTACCTTTGTAACCTAAAAGACAATATATATCCTTAATACTCAAAAACATACATTACTCCACAGTTCCTCTATAAAGCATATCTCGCATAAACTTCAAGGAACAGGTTTCCTTTGTTATATTTTAGAACTAGACATGTAACTGAAAGGAGAAGAATGTCCTTGCAGTGGAATGCAAGAAGCCTTCATGATCTTCATGAAAATTTAACCCAAGTAAAAGAATCTGTTAATTCTTTTCGGTTCAGTGTTCCCAAATGCTGCTTCCAAGTTATTTTTTTCTTTAATCTTTGAAATTAAAATTATTTGCAGAAAGCCAATGGCAACTCCATATCACTTCTGTAAATACTAGAAGGTAGGGATGAGAAATGGCCAATAAATACCATACTTGGGTTGCTGGAACAGGAAACTTGATACATAGTTCTAAGAACAGTAAGGTTAAGAAAGGAAAGTCTAAAAAGCCACAAGAGCAGAGAGAACACAGAAGAGAAAGCAAGAACAAAAAATATGAAAAAATATCAGATGCTAGAAAAGAGTGGTAAAATAAAAACTTCAATCAGATGGGGAACTGACAGAAAACAGGAAGGTAATCCACAGGATCAAAGTTACCTTCTGTGGGAGTATTCCAGTTCAGGGACAAACATCACCACTAGATTCCAGCTTGGGCTGGCACTCATTATGGAAAACGGAACTGAGGAGGCAAAGTCAGCTACAAAGTAACTGTGATCAGACTGACACATAGAGCCACTGCACCTCGCAGGATGGGAAGTCCTTCCTGCACTAGCAACAGATGGAAACGGGAACTGGATTAACATGTCTCTGGAATTCTTGTCATAGATACGGTGCCACACAGGTAACAGCTGGGAAACTGCCTCCCATACATCATCTGCCCCAGCAACACTCCTCAGCTGCCTCTGCCTTGACTGCAGACGAATACCGGATGGCCTCTTACACGGTTCAGTTCAGGATCACTGGTCTGCAGCCCCCTCTTCCTCAGCAGCTCAGGTCTGTAATAATGCAGGTTGCATGAAGGTACTATCCACAGAGATCTAAAGCACAGGGAAGTTTCACAGAAGCTCAGCAATTTCCCCACAATGACACAACACGCAGTAATCCTATCGCAGATTAAAGAGGAAATTGCACTTTGTGACCTCTTCCAAAAGTCTTTCAAACTTACAGTGCTTGTTCATTCACCAGCAGCCCTGAGCTGAGAGCAGGACCTTTAATGTAAAGAATCAGATGCACCAAAGGTAACAACGACTCTTACAGCTGCAGTGTGCAAGAGTTCAGGGAAAGCACGCAGTCTGAATCCAGCACAGGTTTCCCTCCAACCCCAGTAAAACAGACGTTCTTCAAATACAGACCCCTCAGAAAATTGTTCTGAGATGGTGCCAAATTATCTTAAAAATCTTATCAGATAGCTTTGAACAGGCCTGGAGAAGAAATGTCTTTTTCCGTTACCTAATCAGGCATATGAGTACCACCACTGCCCTACAGTGTTGTTACTTATCCAGAAAAGACTTTGTTTCACCACAAATGCATAGCTCACTCCAGAGAAGTATCCTGGCTTAGTGAGTTTGCTGAGCTAAAAAAACAAAGAAAAACTGCACATTTGTCTGGGGGCAGATGTTCACAACAGAAAGAGCTGAAGCAGTTTAAAAAAACAACTGCACCCATTACAGCACTCTTTCCCCTTCCTGTTTCCCCTTCTTGTGTTTATTTCACCAAAAGCTATGGCCCACGCAGCAGAACCAGTGGAAAAGAGCATGGTTTTGGCTATGTGAGCCAGATGCAGGACCAGGATCTCTGCTTTAGCAGCTGACAACGGGGGCGTAAGCTAAGCTGCCAGTCCCTGAACTTCAGGATGAGGAGGAACATTTATACATTCCACTTATACCTCCTGGAAAGACAGTAGCTGCCAGCTCAGGGGTGAAAGGCAGAATCTCCCTTATACCACAGAAATAACATGGTTTATCTGACCATGTCTAGAGAGTGCTTGTAGTTCTTTCACTAAGGTTCAAGCAAACCCGTACTGCACTATGCCTGCCTCAAGCTGAAAGCATGCCGGGCTATTATGGCTCAGAAAGGGCAAGCCAACTCTTTATAATTCTTTGAGGTCTAGATTAGCCTGAGGGTCTCACAGACTTGGTGGTAAATTTGTGACAGGATTAAGTGTATAAATCTAAAGAACTAGCTGTGGTGCACAGGAACAGGGCAGAGATGGGAAAGAGCTTCTGAGGAAGACACAGGATTCTGGCCACTCAGACAATGGTCACTGTGTATATGACCAAAACCTCAAGAAAGAGGCTGGAACAGTTCACTTCAAGCACCAGTGCCAGGAGGAGACAACACAGACTGAAAAAGTATATGCATGGCACACAGTTTTTGAGGGTGCCAAGAATCACAGCACATCCATCACCGATTCAAGTCTTCATGAACAACAACATGCAAGGAACTTGAACATCCAACCTTCTGACTAATTCTCTCTCCTCTTGCAGTATCTCTTTGCTTCACTCTAAGCACAATGCACAACACTTGCATGGGGAAAGATTGTCCACATAAAAGCCCACAAAACTGGAATTCCACCTAAGAGAGCCGCATAGCTGCTTTAGAAACTTCCCAACAGGAGATCACTGTTTAACTAAAGGTGCGGCTCTACAAGTGGTTTCAGTAGGTCTAAGGCCACATTACTATTGAAAGGACTCTCCCTCTCCTTCAAATAGTCTCTCCTAGAATAGCACCCTTGCAGCCCAGCACCACACCACCTCAATGGTGGAGAACAAAGCAGACGACTCTCTTTTGCAGCGGTCCATGCTGAAGTCAGCCAATGCTACTGATGAAACTTCCCCTTGGGAAACTCAAGATTCATTGTTAGTCTCCAGCCACTTTTGAAAAACGCCTTGAAAGATTTCTGTGGTAACAAGTCACAAAAATCCTACAAAATGCAAGCCTAGAAGCCAAACAACTGTCTAAGTGCACAACAAAGGTCTCTGAAACAACCTGAAGTCTGTCACATACGCTTCTTCAGACCTGCTCGGTAAAGCATCATTGGTTTGACTTCACACTTCCGCAAAGATTTTGCCAAAATTACTTCAGCTGTTCCAAACTCAGAAGAAGCCATCAGTGATGGTCACGTGTTTAGGCAGGTGTTTTGAAGCTTTGCAGTTTGCATTGGCAGATACTAGAATTAGGCTTAGTCATTACCTTAAAGCAATCTGGGGGAAAATTATCAGAATCATAAGCTACAGAAAAATAGTATTAGTATTTGCAGTGTGCATGAGGTCTATTCTCGTTTGACTCTTCCTAACCACACCAGTTTCTGTACTTTACTAGTTCTGGGCTATCATTTCACTATTTCTGTCTAGAAAGCTATTACGCACCTATGCTAGCACTGCTTAAATCTCATAATGTCAGGAAAGATGAACTGTGAGATATTGCTTTTAATGTGCATAAACTTGGACTTTCTGAAGTACCTCGATGATACACAGTGCATCCATCCCGCAGCTGGGAAGAACCGCCTGATCCCGTTTGCTGCAGATGGATAAGGACATTCACGCATTTCTCTCAGTAGGACTTTGGGGCTTAGTGAAGGTTTCTCCAATTAATTCAACCAGCTCTCT